GGCGCTGCCCGGCGGCGGCCTGCCCAAGCAGAGCCCCTTCCTCTACGCCACCGCCTTCTGGCCCAAGAGCGCGGCGGCCGCGGGGCCCCTGCAGCTGCAGCTGCCGTCGGCGCTCACGCTGCTGCCGCCGTCCTTCACGTCGCTGTGCCTGCCCGCGCAGAACTGGTGCGCCAAGTGCAACGCCTCCTTCCGCATGACCTCCGACCTGGTGTACCACATGCGCTCGCACCACAAGAAGGAGTACGCCATGGAGCCCTTGGTGAAGCGGCGGCGCGAGGAGAAGCTCAAGTGTCCCATCTGCAACGAGTCCTTCAGGGAGCGCCACCACCTCTCCCGGCACATGACCTCCCATAACTGACGCGGACGGGTCCCCAGCTCTCCGCGCGCGGACGCGCTCGGCCCAGCCACCGGCGGGGGCGAACACCTGAGGGCATCCGCCGCCCCCTTGTGACCCGAAACACCGCACCTAGAGAGACGGTCACACACGCGTAGTCCCACACACGCGCTCCAGTCACCTCATGCAAATATTTATCTGCGCGACCGGCACTGCGCACAAGTACGCGCGAGACAGGATGGTGGATTTTTGATCGGGTGGGTTGCTTGAGGGGTTTTCTTTTGAATGCACGCATTTTCACTTTCCCAAAAACAAAGATACATTTTTTAAAATGTCATATATTGCAACATATTGATGCATTTGTCATAAGTTTCTACTTAAATTATTAAGCACTTACAGTTTAGATGTAATAATTATATGTAAGGGCAAAATTTATTTTAGATATAAAGTAAAGGAGGAGGGTGAGATGCTTTCTGCGTTTCTTGATGACAGATTGTGTTCTTACAAAAATAAACATAAGAATGCAAAGGGGGTCACCATTCGGTTTAAGTTTTCAGGGGGAAGTGCATGTATCATGAAATGATTATGGACTTCAATGAAGAATGTCACCACTATGTAAATATGTATTTCCTTTTAATACAAAGTGTAATTTTGTGCCAGTAAAATGGAGTCTGAATAGTTATGTGTTTCTTTTACCCCTGGAAAGATTTATTAAACTTTATAGATTATCCGGGTATGTTGGATGCTTTGACAATAAATGACTATTTTCCTCAGAGCAATTATTTGGAAAGTGTTTTTAAATACATTTTTGTAGCCAAGGGCTACACTTTGAGTAGATGCCATCTATTTTCACCGAGTCCCTGAACAGAAGAGAGAGCAGGAGAGAGGGGACAAACCCTGCCCACTTGCACTTATTTACTCTAAGACAGCTTTGAGCCTACAAGAGAGAAGACAAGGTTTGATTATTATATGGAAAATCTTTAGCTGGAAAGCGGTGGGCGTGATCAAAGGACGAAGCATTTGAACGAAGATGCCTGCCATGAAGCTAACTTGTCACTGGAATGTCACCATGCTTTTCAGCAGCAGGATAATTAGCATCTTCACAAGTGACCAGAGGAAAATTTCAGGCCTGGATTAGGGAAACCAGATGAAAAACCCAATTAAGGTTCTATTGGTGATGCCTACACGGCAGAGTATCCTGTCCTCTAGAACCCATTAGCATCCTGTCAATACCCGTTAAGAGCCCCTGTGGAGAGTTGGTTTAGAAATATGACCACAGTAGTCTGTACCGCAGGGCCCAGCTTTCCTTCTAAAGGCTTGAGCAGCTTCTGCAAAAATGCTATTTCTGGAGCATTACCGTACAGAAGAACCTGAGAACTCTCCTCCTTACCCTGCCCTTCCTCCTGTGAAAAGCCCCTCTGTACTCTGTATATACTGACAACGGATCTTAGTTAAATAGAGTGTATGTGAGAGTGTGTGGTACATCCAGTTACCATTAGATACAAAACCAAATGGTTGATGGCCCTTTAGGTCTTAGGATGACATGAACGAAATCCACAGGCATCTCTAGAGTCATTCTGCGCGTGCTCTAGTTACAGGCATGACACTGGTTTATCTCTCACAGGTGTTCCTTCCCACTGTCCCCCTTCCTCCACATCTTGCCAACCCTCCTGGATCAGAAGGGGGACACTTGTGAAAAGGTCTGAAATGGGAAACTTGCACAAGGTCTCACTGCAGGCATTCAAAGCTTTCTCCTAAAAGGATTTTAAAGGCTTCGTTATGTTAAGGGGATTACAGAACAAGTTATGATTAGGGCAGGGAGCAGGGAAAGACCAAGGGTAGGGCAAGAGATGCACCCAGTAGCGTGACCCAGGTCAATGAAAAGTAGGTTGACTTTCTCAAGATCATCCAAGTACTTTCTGTGCTACATGTTGCTGAGGCCTGCTCTCAGCTTTGCTAGGCAACAGTTGGATGATCTGAAACACTAACCCCAGCAAAGTGTGATGAGACGAGCAGCCCCAAATTCCAGTTCCGACCGCTGTTCGTGACTAGGACAGCCCTGCGTCATTATTGGCACCATCTGATTTACCTATGTCTTGGTTTTCTCATCTGTACAATGAGTGGGGCAGGTTCTGCTATCTTCAAGGTACTTGCAGCACCGGGAATTGATTTTTCTAATGGTTGGTCAGGCTCCAATTAAAGCTAAAGGGGGTGTTCTAGAGAAAAGAACAGGATTGGTTGTGAAGCAAAGTCATGGCAAGAACCGAGAAAGATACCTGGGGACAAATGGAAGAGGGGCTTCCACAGATCCTTAAAGCACATACCTTCGAGGCAGACTAAATTGTCCGTGCCTGGAACACTAGTGGATCTCTGAAGAAACAGTTTCTTACAAACAAACAAGCAAACAAACCCCAAGTTGTCTGGGACCTAAGTTTTAAAAAAACAAAACAAAGCTTGAATCCCCCTTCATTATGTCCTATCCTTCCAGAATCCCCTTTTCTCTCTGATGGCTTTATTACCTTTTGGGGATTCCGAGACCAACTGAGGTCTAAACAAAGGTAAGCAAAGGCTGCTCTTTGAACAGGGCGTCCTCGCAGCCAGGAATCATGTGTTTTGAAGGATGCATGCGGACGCCCCCTGAGCTTCCCCGCGTTTTCTTCTGTATGGTCATTAACTTAATCACACGACCGGGAAGAAAGCCGAGCCCTGGCTGAGCGGCTGCGCAGGCCGTCCAGGTAGGTGTGCTCGTGGCAGACCCTTTCGGGCCGGGCAGCGATGCCGCTCAATCTGCCCACAAGACCTTTTTGGCGGGAAGTAGTAAGGGAAGGGTGCCCAGAGGTAGTTTTGCCCTCAGCCAAGGCAAACTGAGAAATGTTTTATTTTAATCCTGCATTTTCGAGCTTTCGGGTGCATCCACTGTCCCCGCGTCTGAATTTTCTCAGGCCAGAGTTTCCAGACTCCATA